TAGCACTTACGGTTTCTTGTTTACTTCTTGGAGCAGCAGTTCTCAACCTGTGGGTTGCGACCCCTTTGGGGTCAAACAACCCTTTCACAGGGGTCGCCCAATTCATAACAGTAGCAAAATGACAGTGATGAAGTAGCAACAAAAATAATTTTATGGTTGTGGGGGTCACCACCCCATGAGGGACTGTATGAAAAGGTAGCGGCATGAGGAAGGTTGAGAACCACTGTCTTACAGGTTTGTATTTGTCATATAAGTCTCATCTCTGTAGAGAACTTCTGTCAGAGCAAAGCTGTCCTATATTATATACGCATTGTATATCAGCTTATCTGAAACATGGTAGGCACTTGGAAGAAAACTATATATAATGTAACTAAAATCATTTGCCTGGAATCCATATCTTAATTTGAGAGAGCTTGCTTTTCTTAATAAAACCTGAGTGCTTTTTGTATCCCAAATCCCTCCATATGTTTAGCAATACAATGGCTATTCCCTGGTGGAGTGATAGTTGGACTTACGACTTACAATTGGAATGTCTCATTGTACTTTGGTGACCACGTGTTACTTTTAGTCTTTGTGCCTTGTTTTCTCTTTTTGTCTCCGAGATTGGGTCCCAGTATACAAACTTCCACAAAGGGCCGAAACATGGCGGTGGTCTGCCAGTTCAGGTCATTAATAGCAATCACTGAGAACCGAAAAGAAAAACGCAGTGTTAACAAACATCTAGAAACCCATTCTCCTCAATTTGGTCCTTAGGGTGACTTTTTATTTTTTTAAAAAGATTAATGGAGCTATAACTTGCATGTGGAAGCAGTCGTGTCACGGAGAAGAAAATGTCCTTGAAGCAGCAATTTTCTTACTTGGGAATGTGCATTTGATGGGCCTTTCAGTTCTAAGCTGTGTCGCATTTTGGAGCTAAAAGTGACCTTTGACACTAAAGAGTTCTTCATTCTTTAGGTAAAAACAGGCTTGTATATTACATTACGATATGCTTATTAAAAAAGATAAGAGATTGATTAAATTGCTGGTTTTTTTTCTCACAAGAAATGACTGTTACTGTATATATTTATTACATATTTTCCAACTGAAAATATTCCACTGTGTGGATATACCAGCTGATATTTAGTGAGTCACTTATTGCTAAACTTTACAGTTTTTTTCTAATTGTAGCTATCAAAAATAATGCTTAAGATTAAAAAAAAATGTTAGCTTTTGTTATATATTGGCAAAATGTGTTCTGCCTATATTTAAGGACATTGATAATATCCCCTCATTATTTACTCTATTGCTTTTATAATGCATACAAAAATATATTATTTAATGCAGTTTTGAAACTGAGAGGTCATAGTTTGCTGCTTTGATGACATCTATAAAATATGAATGGATAGAGCAAAATGTTAATCATTAAAATTCACCTTTTACATGATTTTCAGATTAAAATAGTCTACTTACACTATAAAAACCAAACCTTGATTTGATAATCACATAAAAAAACCCAAGCAGTCAACCATTGTACTGAAGACCACAGAAAAGCTACCCCATTTTGAAATTTAATTACCCATATGTTAATTTTTTATATTTTAGAGGACAAACATCTATATAACTGTTTGATTTTGATTGAAAAGTTTTAGTGCAATAAAATTCTGTGCATGCCCAAAGATCATTTCACACACACACACGTATATATTCTGAGTCTAAGAGGCCATGTCAACTTCTGGGACCTGAAACATACCTTTGACAGTGATCTTCTGCTCCCCGGTTCCTGGGGTGGCCGTGATGTCCACGTGAACAGATATCTGCCCCACTGCATCTTTGGAGGAGCGGCCTGTAAGTGAGCAGACGTTTACTGATCTAAACTTTTAGATGACTTGATAATGGGTACTTAGGCACTTGTGCAAAAGAGACATTAAAGTTTAGTCTTAACAAATACGGTTCTTTTGGTTAATGGCACATCATATACCCAAACCAACTTCTCTTGAGTTGGTTCTCACTCCTAGCAAGACTGTTGGACTGAGAACTTCCCTGTTTGGGTTTCTGAGTGTAACGATTAACAGGAGCAAGCAGCCTCATCTTTCTCTCCTGAAATGCTGGTGCATTTATTTGACTGATCTTCTAATTAATAGCCTACTTACATCATCCGGGCTCCTTGTAATAGCACATCAGTCACTGCCATTGAGTCGGCTCCTGGAGACCCTAGACAGCTTTCCAGGAGTTCAGAGACTGGAAGTCTTGACCAAAATACACCAACAAACTCACTGCCGTTGAGTTGATGTCAACTCAGTGAGCCTATAGGGCAGGGTGGCACTGCCCCTGTGGGTTACTGTGACTCTTTATGGGAGTAGAAAGCCCTGTCTTTCTTCTGAGGTGCATCTGGTGGTTTTGAACTGCTGACCTTGAGGATCACAGTCCAATATGTAACCATTATACCATCAGGGCTCCCCAAAGTCTTGAAGATAATACTAAATATTCAAGTGGCCTTCAGAAATAAGCCCTGTGGGATAGTTGTTACATTAGAAGCAAATTGCAGTTGCCTGACTACATATAACACTACATTGTCATATTTATTGCTTTAGGAACTTTTCTATAGTGTCCCATAGTAGAGCACTGGAGACATAAAGATGATTCTATGGGCACCCATATCCATAAAGAGTACAGTCTGCCAAGAGAGACCAACAAATAGACACAATTACAATATGCTGTCGTCAGGTGTCATTGAGTCAATTGTGACCCAATACACAACAGAATGAAGCCATGCTAGCTCATGTGACATCCTCACAGTCGTTCCTGTGATTGGGTCCATCTTCTGCAGTCCCTGTGTGAATCCAGATCATTAAGGACCTTCCTCTTGACAACATGCCCAAAGTAGGGGAGAGGAAGTCTCACATCCTTGCCTCCAAGGAGCATTCTGGCTGTACTTCTTGCAAGACAGATTTGTTTGTCCTTTTAGCAGTCTGTGGTACTTTAAATATTCTTCTCCTGCACCACAATTCGAACACATCGATTCTTCTTCTGTCTTCCTGATTCAATGCCCAGCTTTCTTTCTCTTGTGGATGAGGTAACTCAAACTACCAGGACTTGGTTGAGGCAATTTCCTGTCTGCTGCTTCCATAAGCATGGATTGTGGATCCAAGCAAGATGAAATCCTTGATAGCCTCCATCTTTTCTCCATTTATCATGATGTTGCTGAATGGTCCAGTTGTGAGGATTTTGGTCTTTGTTGCCTTGAGTTGTAATTCTTAGTCCAGGCTACAGTCCTTAAAATTCATCAGCAAATGATTCAAGTCCTCCTCACTTTGAGTGCGCAAGGTTGTGTCACCTGCATGCTGTAGGTTAATACACCTTGCTCCAGTCCTGATGCCACATTCTTCTTTATATAAGCCAGCTCTTTGGATGATTTTCCCAGCATACAGATTGAATAAGTACGGTAAGAGGATACAACCCCGACACATACACCCCTTTCCTGATTTAGACCACACAGCACTCCCTTTTTTCATACAGCTGCTTCTTGATTTATGTGTAAGTCCCACGGGAGCACAATGATGTGTTCTAGAATTCCCATTCTTCCCAAGGTTATCCCCAGTTTGTTATGGCCCACACAGTCAAATGCCTTGTCCTAGTCAATGAAGCACAAGCAAACATCTTTTTGGTATTCTCTGTTTTGAGCCAAGATCCATCTGACATCAGCAACGATTATCCTTTGTTCCATCCCTCTTCTGATTCAGCCTGAACTTCTGGCAGCCCCTGCCCCCGCCCCCACCCCTCCCCACCCTGTCAAGGTACTGCTGCAACTAACAACAGCTTCTGGGATTTGACAAAATACTGAGCAATCAGACATTCCCCTCCTATTGGATCAACCTTTCTTCAGCATGAGCACAAATATTAATACATGAATAGTCTTGCTGAAGAACATTCAAAGATACAGCAGCATACCAGCCAGGACTCCCCAGACGTGGAAGGCAGATGGGGGTATCATTGCTGATGTGAAATGGATCATGACTCAACTGGCAGAAAAGTGTTTCCATGTTGTATGGACTATTCAGCGGTATTGCTATGTATAGATCATAACATAGTAGACAATGCCCTCCAAAATGGGACCATAGCCACAGGTGTATAAAACCCAGAACCACAAGATAAGGAACTGTGGCTAGAAGGGCCATAGTAATTGCCCATAACTCTGATAACATTTGTTAATAAAAGGAATTCCAGAATGCTTAGTTGTGCTCATGTGAAAGGGAGGAGTCAGGGTGGTATGCTGAGCAAGCAATCTCCGAAGCTGGACTATGTGAAGAAAAACGTTACAGGTGACCAGATTTTGACATTGGTAAAGCGGGACACCATTGATAAAACTCATATCCTGGCAAACCCCATATACCCTAGCTTGTTGTGCATTCTTTCCAAAACTCGGGACTCTTTTAAAACGCCGCGGGACACGGGAAAAACTGTTAAAAATCGGGACTGTCCCGCCAAAAGCTCTTGAATGCTATCTGCAGGTGACATAATCTTGCTTCATGAAGGTCTAGAACTACGCCTTCCCTATGGATTACGACAATAGAAAGAAAGCCGCATCCTTACAAATGGACCGATAGGTAACATCGTGATAAGCAGAACAAAGATTGAAATGGGCCAGGATTTCATTTTACTTTCGTCTACAAGAAATCTAATGGCTGGGAAAATGTACTGCAAACGACCTTAAAATGTTAAAAAGGAAAGATGCCATTGTGAGGACTAAAGATATACCCGACCCCAAGCTATGGTGTTCTCATTTTGTATGGTTTTGGCAAAGAATAATTAATAATATACTACAGATTGCCGGAATGATCCTTAGAATTGGCCATTTCCTGGAGAAGGACATCATAGTTTGTAGAGAAGAGGCCCAGCCACAGAGAGAGACGCAACTAGATAGACTCACACAGTGGGCTCAAAGAGCAAGCGTTGGATGCTGCAGGATTTGGCAGTATAGGATCGTTCTGAGTCAGAAGGAACGTGACTGCACCTAACAAAACCTATAGGACGGTTCCTAACAAACAGAACGCTTACTTCCCTAGAAACAGTGGCTAATGTTCTGAGCCCCAACCACAGGTTCTAAATTCAGACACTCATCAAGATCTATGGAGAACAGCCAGTTCACAAGACGAAGCCACCCTCCAAGTCCCGTTCAATGTTAAGAAAATTGGAAGGTAGACCTTAGTTGTTTGGGAGAAATAAAGGAACTATTTTTACATCTCTGCTCCATGATTGAGGGCTGAGAGGGAAAGGAAAAGCACCCCAAGATGAGCATTGCATTACTGGATTGGTTGCCTACTTAGACAAAATACAAGCAGGTTTCAAAAAGTTCATGGCAGAATGGGATGCCAAGATCCTGGACAGTTTTCATTACCTTTTAAGTCCCCTTGTACAATGTGGGCACCGAGACACAGCGTGTGCCAAAATTCAGGACAAGAGAGTAGATCTTTGAGTTATAATCGTTCAGGGAAAGTGGCACATGATGCTACCAGATAATGTCCGGCAAGAAGATGTGGCCCAAACTCTCCTGCCTTGGAAAACGCCACTGATGCGAAGCTCTGCTGCCTGTCTGACCACAGGCATCCCCAGGGCTGAGGTTTCAGCGGAGCTTCTCAATGAAGGCAGATTAGAAAATAGGAGCAGGTGGACCATTTCTAAGACACACTGGCCAGCCGATGCAAAATGTAGGAACGGCAGTGGGACATTTCGTGGTATAAAGCCAGCAGAGGTTGGAAGGCACTCAAAAGAAAGCATGAGTTAGCAGGAGCTGTCTCTTCAAAGGAAAGTCAGCCTTCAGGATGCAAACAGAGGAAAGCCTTCAGGGCCTTCCTTGGCTGAAGTAGCATGGCTCCAAATGAGAAGAAATGGCTGCAAACATCCATTAATAATCGGAACGTACAAATAATGGAACGTGCCAAAAATGGAAGTCAGAAAAGTGGAACACTTAAAGATCAATGTGGTAGGCATCAGAGAGCTGAAATGGACTGATCAGCCATTTTGAATTGCAAAGTCATCTAGTTTATACTGAAAATGAGAGTGAGTATGACACCATTCGGCTTCAATTTATCAGAAAGACATATCCTGATATACAGCATTGTGGGTAATAGAAGAATATTTGCCAAAGAAGAAGAAATCAAAGATTTCTTTTTTACCAAGTCAAGCAGTATGAAAGTAATTAAGCATGGTATTAAGATGCAGTGACAATTACTGGTGATTAAAATCCAATAAATTCAGAGGAAGGGGATTGATATTTGGAAAATATGGCTTGGTGATAAAAATTATGCTAGAGATCACATGATAGGATTTTGCAACTGAATCAACTATTTCATGGGAATTACTTTTAGTTATCAAACAGTGATGGATGGAATACAAATGAACCAAATCAACTACTTCCATGGAAAGAAATGATGACAAAGTTCAGTTGTACCAGTTTGAACTTCAGTTGCTCAAATGAATATCCAGAGACTCAAAATATGACCTGGATTATGTGATGGCTGAATGGAGAAATGTTTTGAAGGCCCCAAACCAGATGAACCAAGAGAGAATTAAAAAGAGCAAAAACAGATGTCGGAAGAAACTCCAAAACTTGCTCTTGAATTTAAAGTAAAAATTTACAAAAGACGTAATGATAACATAGATGAAGTATTAAAAAAAACACCAACCCTTGGAGGTAGAAAAGAAATAAAGGCGGGGGGTATTTAGAACCAAGACTCACAACAGCAGGTCTTACTGAGCTTCTCCTGCACAGAGAACGATCTCTCACTAGTAAAGGGCCCTTTGTCTTTTTAACATTCTTCCCTAGCACTAGAGGAAAGGGAAGAA